AGTGGAGTTGGTGGAGTTGGTGGAGTTGGTGGAGTTGGTGGAGTTGGTGGAGTTGGGGGAGTTGGGGGAGTTGGGGGAGTTGGGGGAGTTGGGGGAGTTGGGGGAGTTGGTGGAGTTGGTGGAGTTGGTGGAGTTGGTGGAGTTGGTAGTGGTGCTAGAGTTGGGATATGGTGTGTCGGTGGTTGGTTTATCATCAGCAACAACTGTAGCTGTTAAATTCATATCACATTTGTTGACGTTGTTAAAGAAACCAACAACGAAGTAGAAAGACCCTGGTGCTAAAGACGAATAAAAGGTACCGAGAGTACTGATGCCATCATTTGATGACCCTTTGCCAAGAGATACTACAAGTAGTTTAGCAACGTAAGTCAGTTAGTTTTAAAAGTAGAGTTTAACGTTAACTCCAAAATCGATCACTTACCACTAGATGAGCTAGTATCTTTGTCACACGTTTTTTTATTTTGGTTTATATAGTAACTGAATGAGTTCCACGAGTCACTCTTATCTGCCACAAAAACAAGTGTATCGTTTTGGTGCATGTTGATAGTGGAAGGAACAAAAGCATTCTTACGAGCATCAGCGAAAATGTATTTTTTATCCCCTGAAGGAGTAGGAATGTTAGGCATATAAGGCGTAGGAATATTAGGAATATTAGGAATATTAGGAATATTAATTTGGGCTTGAGTGACTTTTTGAGCAAGAACGATTAGAGCGAGGTATGTGAGTGCTTTTAAAAGATGTTTGAACATATGCATTTTGGAAAATAGTATTTGTATTTACGTCGATGTTAGACGTGGACAGAATGTTTGAGAGCAACGAGTTAAATAGCAAAATACGTAACGGTACAATGAGCTGCAACAAAGCCACATTTGGAAGCAAAACGAGTTAATGCATGCTATCAAGCGGCTGCAATTCATATGCATGTATTGTTAGCGTTAGCGTATACAGAATAAGTGTAATACATGTACATCCAACAGGTACTATTGCTATTGCTATGCTTCGATTGTGACAGTTTCACCTCGAGTTGTGAGCATTTGGTTTGTATGAATAATCTTAGAAAATATTCGCTTGTAGAATTTGAATCTGCTGGAATTTGTAAAATATTGTATTTGTGATTTTGCGTAACTCGCTTATCGTTATCGTTATCGTTATATATGTTCGTAATAACGATAATACATGTACAATAACGATAACGATAACCATTCTTCAAAAAAGTGCGTGCTTTTATTAAAATAGATCAATTTTCCCATTGCTCATTGATGTCATTGATGTCATTGATGTCCTGTTTCGGCAATATGTTTGGTGACAATCTCTTGGATGTACATGTATATGTATCGGTATATACCGATACTGTATGAGAGTCCTTTTTGGTGCATTTACCGCTATGTGTAACCAGAACATGAATACGTACAAATTTACGTATAACCATTTAATATCGATATGAACTGTATCGGTATATTGTAATAGTAAAATTTTACTTTGACAACTAATTTACAAGTCTTCATCCATTGTAAATGTTCTATATTTCCATAAATATCGATTTTTGTTATAGATTATCTTATACGGTTTTGTAGCCAGAAATATAGGCTACATAACTATTTTGTGGGTTAAAGCTCAAGCTCGAACCCAAATTCGAATTAATTACTGTATCATGTATAGAATAAATTCGTATAAATTATGTAAACTCGCAAATGATTTTGTATTAGCTTGAATAGTAGGTGATATTCGTTTACCACCAAGTGCACTACCAAACAAATAACCACCGCTGTGCCGTTGATGTAGATTCGGAAATTATTTCAGTTTTGTAATTTCCAAAATATTGTACGTACTTAATTCATTTATATGGTGAGAGAAAAATTTAGAATTTCAAATGAGTTTTGTTTCGATTGATTTTTCACCCAAAGTCTAGAAGTGAAGATGTACGCTAATTTTGGGAGACATCTATCGCGTCTTTTGCCAACTTCTTCGACTGATTGCAGAACATGGGTGAATAGAGCGACCGGATTCTCGTGTGAAGCTAACAGCATTAGCCATTTAATATTGAAAAAACAATAAAAATTATGAATATGGTGCATAAAATCTAAAGTCATCAAACGTTTGTATTTTATAAAATGTATAAACTTCTTTACGTACTAAGAAGATTACAAACGTTTGATGACTTTAGATTTTATGCACCATAACCCACAAATCCAAGAAAAAATCGCCCAAATCGAAGCCCTTATCAAAAATACCAAAGCAACCCTAAAAACTTGATCCAACAAGATTGGCAAATATCACACTCAACTAAAAGAATTCACTAACGCATCAATTACGACGTCGACTTTTTTAGCAGTTGGCTCCCATGTCTCGTTTTTGAATACATCTCAGGGATGACTATAAAATATTTATCAATTTAATCAATATAATATGTATTTGTATATAAAAATTCTACACACTTTCGTTCTTTGCTAACTCTTTTAATAAGTCACATGATTAGTCCTTGCGATGGTATTGCCTAAGTAACCGGAACTAAAACTTTAACTCTTTTTAAATTTCGTTGGTTCATTATTCGCAGAAAATTTTATGAAGAAAACAGCGTTGAGGTGTTCTCTTTATATTTTCAGCTTCATGAATTTAATTAATAAAATTTTTAGAAATACAAAGTTTTGATACGATGGCATTCATTTAGTTATTGCGTAAGATTATAACAATGATTCAATTACTAAGCACTGACGTAATTTATATTCTAAAAAGTATACCATTATGCTCTTTTCTAATTTCAATTACGCATCATTTAAAATTTCTTATAAATAATAATGCGTGGCATAAAGGATATTGCATTATGCTCTGATTTTAATTCCTGTCATTTGCAATTTGTAAGTTTATTTTATTCTCTTCCTTTTTGTTCTTTTCAAAGGCAAAAGCAATTTTTGACCTAATTTAATTCCAGTCTCAAAACTAAAAATCGTAATGTTACTGATTGACAGATTTGATTTCGGACCGACATTATCCTTTTTCCCGAAATTGTTTTAAATTATCGTTATCCAATGATTAATTTGGCAAAGTAATTAGAGCTATAAAATGTTAGAAAATATAAATTTATATCAAATCAGGAATTGTATTGTGATTGTTTGTATTATTATCAGTTTACCATATGAACTTGCAAGAAAGAGTTGGCTGTAATTCTGGCGCATACATATTTTCTTTTGATTTCTTGAATTTAATTAAAAATGAGAACTCACTATTTACAAAAGAGGTCATAAAATAGGGCATACTAAAGCTGACATTAGTAGAATTCTTAAACTAACTAAGATTACTATAAAGAATACTATCAAACACTTTAAAATTTTCAGGACACCAACAAATAAAAACAAATGAGCAACTGATCCAGAAATATATTTAAAATTAATTGAAAACATATCCTATAGAATAGAAGCGTAATGTTATCATTTTCAACAAAAATTTCATAATTTGATAATTTTTATGATGTCATAAATTATGGTGTATCATAATTTCGCCAAATGATATTTATAGTATGTAATTTAATACTTTTTGATGTTATACAAGCAAGTTTTGTATTTATTTGATATTACACAGTCAAATTTGACATTATACAATCATATTTTTATGAATATCACTTTCTTTTTAATTGATAATTAAATTAATTACATTTTTTATATACTTTAATATTTATTTCCCATTCTTTTTATTTTTCTTCACTTATTGCTATTAATATATCTTATTCCCAACAAAAATATTCTTAATTCAAATTTCATTATCTTTAACCAATTATATTTTAGTTCTCATTTGTATTTTTATTTTTGTTACTATTTTTATCTTTATTTTTAATATTGTCATCTCTTATAATATTATTCATTTTTTCTTTTTATTATATTTTTATAATTTCACTTATCTTTAATTACTCAAATTCATATTAATTTTATCTTATATTTTTTCTCTTATCTTGTATAATTTCTTATTTAATTTTTAACCTTTGTTTATTTTAGTATTATCTATAAATAGTGATATAATTTAGAATCATTATTAATTATATAAAGCAAATAACTATTAAAAATATATGAAAGAAAAGTCTCTTATTATTAAAAACTTTCATGCTCTAATCTAATAAAAGTAATAAAGTTCTTACTTATAATATTATACTTGTAAATATATTATTATTTTCTTAATTATTTTTAAATTTTAATTCCAAGTAATAAATACTTCTTTATTTTAAATAAACTGTTGACTTTAATATTTTTGTTTATTTTTTTTAGATCATATCAATAAGTCTTGTTGTTTTATTAGCAGTTTCAATAAGTTCAATTAATTTTTCTATTTTATTAAGCAATCTTAATAAGTCCTATTATTTTTTTAATAATTATTCTATTTTATTTTAATTTATTATATAATATTTCTCTTTTCAAAAAATATTATAAATATATTTTTTATCTTATCTCTCTTTTAAATCATCTTAATATCTTTTCTTTAATTTGTATTATTATTATTTCTCTACTTTTTTTTACTTTTATTTTCTTTATATATATTTATAATATCTTTACCTAGATAGATATTATCATGCATAAAAGAATATTTTGTCAAAATGCTAAAAGAATTATTTTTATATCAACTAAATAAAATAATTTTTTTTAACTCAAGAGTTATAATTAGAAATAATAATAGATAATAATATTATTGAATAATTCAAAAGTTCAATTAATATTCTAAATTTTTCAATAATTTTTTCTTTAATAATATAATTACTTTTGTATCACAATTATCAGTATCATTTTCTAAAGTATTTGATTATTCAAAATTTTTCAAAGACTTTAATAAATCAATACTCTATAAAAAATCATAATTATTTTTATAACAATATAGCAAAAATAATAAAATTAATTAAATTCATAAATCTAGTACTAATAATAAAAGTTATTAAAGAACAATAATCTGAATTAATTAATAATATATAAAAATCAAAATTAAAAAAAAATTTATCATCAAAAAATAAGTGAAAAGCAAAAATTAAAATACTATTTTGAGATTGGAAAAATACTTTATAATCAACCAAAAAAATATCAAAAACTTATAATAATTAAAAAAACTATTCACCAAAAAAATTGAAAAATATAAATTTGCAAAAAATCATTTTATATTATAAAGAAAATCTTTGAAATATTTGAAATCAAAAAACTTTTACTTTAGATTGCTATCTATTCAAATATATCAATTATATAAAAAAAAGTTAATAAATATAGAAGGTGAATTCAAGCTTAATTTTGCAAAGCAAAATCTTTAAAGAAGAATTATATATTATAATAGTAATATAAAAATTGCAAATTTCAAAAATAATCAAAAAATATAAAAATTTCAAAAATATTTATATAATAATAAAATCTTCTTATATTATTTCACTTTTATTATTTTATTATTTTATTATTTTATTATTTTATTTTTATATATTGTTACAAGTTTGTTCACTAATCGTTAAATTAGCTTACAAACGAGAACCTGGGTTGGAAGAGGATATAAACTG